CCCAGGATATATTTGGTGAAGTTCTTTTGCCCTTTTGTCACCCAACAAGGATAGCAACCAAAATAAATAGTTACCTACCTTTCTGTCGCTATTGTTCTTCAAGATGTGTTGCACATACAATTGTAGATCTGTGCATGCCTTGTGCACAGATTTTTTCCATCAGCAATAGCTGTCAGGATGGCTTGAGGGTACTGTCAGTGTGTGCCACTGCATACTGGTATAAGAGAGCAGAGCACCCTCATCCCCGGCTGCACCCCAGAGGTAGATATTACCATATCTGAGGTAGAAGCGAAACTCGAACAGCTTAATGGGACTAAATCAGGGGGCCCAATAATCTTCATCCAAGAATATTAAAGGAATTGGCACATGAAATTGCCAGCCCATTAGCAAGAATTTTTAATGAATCTGTAAACTCAGGGGTTGTACTCTATGACTGGAGAATTGCTAACATAGTTCCTATTTTTAAGAAAGGAAAAAAAAGTGATCCAGGTAACTACAGGCCTGTTAGTTTGACATCTGTAGTACGCAAAGTCTTGGAAAAAATTTTGAAGGGGAAAGTAGTTAAGGACATTGAGGTCAGTGGTAAATGGGACAAAATACAACATGGTTTTACAAAAGGTAAATCGTGCCAAACCAACCTGATCTCCTTCTTTGAGAAAGTAACAGATTTTTTAGACAAGGGAAACGCAGTAGATTTACCTAGATTTCAGTAAGGCGTTTGATACTGTGCCACATGGGGAATTATTAGTTAAATTGGAAAAGATGGGGATCAATACGAAAATTGAAAGTTGGATAATGAAATGGTTAATAACAAGAATTTTAGTTATAAACTGGGGACGCATCAATTAGAAGTAACGGAGGAGGAGAATGACCTTGGAGTATTGGTTGATCATAGAATGACTATGAGCCGCCAATGTGATATGGCCGTGAAAAAAGCTAATGTGGTCTTGGGATGCATCAGGCGAGGTATTTTCAGTAGAGATAAGGAGGTTTTAGTACCGTTATACAAGGTACTGGTGAGACCTCACCTGGAATGCTGTGTGTGCAGTTTTGGTCTCCCATGTTTAAGAAGGATGAATTCAAACTGGAACAGGTACAGAGAAGCTACTAGGATGATCCAAGGAATGGTAAACCTGTCTTATGAAAAGAGACTCAAGGAGCTTGGCTTGTTTAGCCTAACTAAAAGAAGGTTGAGGGGAGATATGATTGCTCTCTATAAAGACATCAGAGGGATAAATACTGGAGAGGGAGAGGAATTATTTAAGGTCAGTACCAATGTGGACACAAGAACAAATAAACTGGTCATTGGGAAGCTTAGACATGAAATTAGATGAAGGTTTCTAACCATCAGAGGAGTGAAGTTTTGGAATAGCCTTCAAAGGGAAGCTAGTGGGGGCAAAAGACCTATCTGGCTTTAAGATTAAACTTGATAAGTTTATGGAGGAGATGGTATGATGGGATAACATGATTTTGGCAATTAATTGATCTTTAAATATTCATGGTAAATAGGCCCAATGGCCTGTGATGGGATGTTAGATGGGGTGGGATCTGAGTTACTACAGAAAATTCTTTCCTGGGTATCTGGCTGGTGAATCTTGCCCATATGCTCAGGGTTTAGCTGATCGCCATATTTGGGGTTGGGAAGGAATTTTCCTCCAGGGCAGATTGGAAGAGGCCCTGGATGTTTTTCGCCTTCCTCTGTAGCATGGGGCCCGGGTCACTTGCTGCAGGATTCTCTGCTCCTTGAAGTCTTTAAACCACGATTTGAGGACTTCAATAGCTCAGACATAGAAGAGAGGTTTTTTGCAGGAGCGGGTGCGTGAGATTCTGTGGCCTGCGTTGTGCAGGAGGTCGGACTAGATGATCATAATGGCCCCTTCTGACCTTAATATCTATGAATCTATGAATTACTAAGTATAACTATTTACAATGAGTGAGCAAACCACTTGAATTAGCAAGTCTGGGATCTCGCTGACAACCATCACTGACAGTAAGAAGGAAAGGGTGGGGAGGGAGAAGGGCAGGAGGCTGGGGTGGCTCCCCTCTCTTATACCAGCATGCAGTGGCACACGGTGGTGACAGAGGGTGCTTGAGCCATCCCAACAGAGGGGAAAAAACTACGACATCTGTGCACAAATCACACACAGACCTACAGTGGAATGGACATGAGCAATCACTCAAAGAAGAACTGAGTTGGATCCAAAACAACCAACACTTTCACATAACAAAAATGCAAATAAGGCCTGGCACATTCAGTCTCTTATCCCTGTTCACAAGTAGATGGTGGCAGAGAGTTCATGCCCCTATGGAGTTTCTGTGTTTGGAGTTCTGAAGCTACTCTGGGGTGCTTTTTCCTTTGTTCACCAACAAACGATAGAATTGAGTGCCCTACCCTCCAGAGCTTCAGGCCACAGGGCTTACACATCTAAGAATCGCATTAGCCCACTTAGCCACAGCACCACACTGGAGCTCCTGTTCAATTGGTTATCTACTATGACCCCTAGCTCCTTTCCAGAGTCACTGCTTTCCAGGATACAGTCCCCCATCCTGTAAATGTAACCTACAAGTTAGAAATGAACTTTCCTTGTTGGATGCTCCTTGTCTACTCAAAATGCAGCCTGTGCAGATATGGCAACGTCCTGCAATGTCCCTGGAAAACCTTATTGAATTAAGTTTCATTATCTTTAGAGCCCGTTGTATGAAATGCAGAGGTTATGTAATACTCTGGGACTGGATGCTCAAAGAACTATATTGAACATTGTGGCAGACAAGAACAGTATTTTGGGACAATGTCTGACATAGATTTCCTGGGAAATATCTAGTGGGCTGTGAATGCAAATTCCTCCCCCACTCCCTCTGGTTATCCCAGCCTTTTGAAGCTGCACCATGAGGAAGGGTCCACTGGAATCTGAAGATCAAAGGCTCACGCTGTAGAAAGAAACAGGCTGATCTACCCCGTTTGGGTGCTAGTTCTGAGCCAAGGCTATTATAGACTCATAAGCACAGAAAAAACCCTCTGTGGGGTTTGAAATACAGACTCCTACTCCTGTGCTTGTTGTTGCTGAAGGGGTGACCACTGGTAAGTCTTTAGCGTGCATGTAGGAACTTCTATTGTTTTTAAATGTTTTCTCTGCAATGCTTTCACCTTAGGAATAAATGTGCTTGCTTATAAAAGACAGTGTGGTAACTTATAACTGCTGGCAGCTATGCTGTTCATAAGCCTTCAAAAAGAAAGCAAAGCGTAGCTGTTGGCCTGTTTAGGCAGTCTGTATCACTGAGAATATCCTGGAGAAAACCCTGGTCAGGAGGGAGAGAGAATGGATCTCCGTCCAATAGAGGTGACAGCTCGGGAAGCTGAAGTGGGTGTACGCAAGGGATCATGGAGGAGGAATAATGATGCAGTTCCCCTGAATTGTGACACCACCATTAGTTCACTGAACATATCTAGCTTTTTGTGCATGAGAGGCGTATATCAGACTGGCTCTGACTTGATTTAGTGGTGTCAAGGTTCCTTCCCCACTCTGAACTCTAGGGTACAGATGTGGGGACCTGCATGAAAAACCTCCTAAGTTTATCTTTACCAGCTTAGGTCAAAACTTCCCTAAGGTACAAAATATTCCACCCTTTGTCCTTGGATTGGCCGCTACCACCACCAAACTAATACTGGTTACTGGGGAAGAGCTGTTTGGACGCATGTTTCCCCCCAAAATACTTCCCAAAACCTTGCACCCCACTTCCTGGGCAAGGTTTGGTAAAAAGCCTCACCAATTTGCCTAGGTGACTACAGACCCAAACCCTTGGATCTGAGAACAATGAAAAAGCATTCAGTTTTCTTACAAGACTTTTAATAAAAATAGAAGTAAATAGAAATAAAGAAATTCCCCCTGTAAAATCAGGATGGTAGATATCTTACAGGATAATTAGATTCAAAAACATAGAGAACCCCTCTAGGCAAAACCTTAAGTTACAAAAAAGATACACAGACAGAAATAGTTATTCTATTCAGCACAATTCTTTTCTCAGCCATTTAAAGAAATCATCATCTAACACATACCTAGCTAGATTACTTACTAAAAGTTCTAAGACTCCATTCCTGGTCTATCCCCAGCAGAAACCAGCATATAGACAGACACACAGACCCTTTGTTTCTCTCCCTCCTCCCAGCTTTTGAAAGTATCTTGTCTCCTCATTGGTCATTTTGGTCAGGTGCCAGGAGGTTACCTTTAGCTTCTTAACCCTTTACAGGTTAGAGGAGCTTTCCCCTGGCCAGGAGGGATTTCAAAGGGGTTTACCCTTCCCTTTATATTTATGACAGTGACAGTACTGGAAGGTTGGCTGGAAAGACCAAATTATTTTACAGGAAGGCATTTCATTCAGCCTCTGGAGACTCTCTCCTTGCTCTCAAGGTGCTCAGAACGGCTCAGGCAGTCACTGTTGAGGTCACAAGCGCACTACAGGCGTTCATATGCTGAGTTTACCATTTGAAAACCAACTTATGACACTTTCAGAGCTACATAGGTGGATGTTTTCCAAGCAGCAGACGGACAAATATTGTTATTGACAAGAAATGCATTTATACCTACTATCAAGCAATGGAATAGCTCCAGGATGATCGAGTGCATCCAAAGCTACCCTCCCCCACTAGGCACAGATGGGTCTTGGAGGATAGACTGATCACACCAATTATGCAGGAAATACCATGCGCTCCCAAATCAATCCTTCTGCTAATCAAAATATCATGTGCAAAGACCAGATGCTCACTGTCTCGCAAATGTCTGGCTAGCCATCTGCCTTATACAGAGATGTATTAGTGTGACACAGATGAGGATCAATGTGACAACATGTCTAGCAGTGGAGCCATAGATGGAGATGACCCTGATGATGACTTTGACGAATAAATGTTTTCAGTCCTACATGTCAAAGCTAAGTTCCCTGGGATTACCAAAGGTCAATGTGTTTTTTTTCATGTTAACAATGCATTTCTGTATTCAAGAATAATTAAAAAAAAGGGGATATATATTTTAGAAAATAATGAACTATCTACATAATTGTTTTGGGTTGGTCATGCTTCATACCACTGTGTTCATGGGAGAAAGGGCTTTTGAATAATACCCAGCTTGACCAATTTCTGACAGTTATATTATCAGAATTTCCACTAACAGGAAACCCAGAGATGGGGCAAGCGGATGCCAGTGAGACCCACCCTGCCACACTGCAGAGGGTGACACCACTGAAATTATGATTCTCTAGATTTTTACAAATCAAACAATGCCTCCCTTACCTATCACTAACTTGCCACTTTCCCCAAAATAAGATTTTATTACATAATGCTCTGACATGAATCCTGACTGAGTCAAAGATTGTGTGTGTGTGTGTATTTTAAATATAGACACAATTTTAAAACACTTTTGATAAAGGAGTATAGTGCACTAATAGCAATCTACATAGCGATCAATATATTCATAGACTTCTTGTAAGCAATTCTGTTTTCATGGACTCAGTAGTAAACCTGCACCATATTCTTCTGGCCATACTTTACTATTATCCCAATGACTGTTGCAACACTATCTCCTCTTCTTTTGGAATGTTTCACTATTTAATTTTCCAGAGGATCCAAAAACAGCAGTGAAAAATGAAAAGTTCCAGTCCACTGGACCAAAGAGCCGCTGAGTTGATCTGTATATCCAGTACGGATTAAGTATTAATGTAAGTGTACTTAACCCCACGAAAAAGACGATAAAATGTGGAAGTCCCAGATTTTCCACGACATCATTCCAATTGGAAATACACACCCACCACATGTGATAAATAAGGACCATGCGGCAGTGTTGCATATGGATCAGTACCCATTGGTTTGCCTTCCATAAAAGGGTATTAGCATAGCCAGTCTGAAGAGAAAACAACAAAGAAAGAAATGAAATTGCACCTTCAAGATAAAGCAGTCAGCATTTTCTAGAATTAAGATATTGTGACAAAGTTCCTCCTCTGCCTTGGTGGGTCCTGCACTTTTTGGCGGATTTGCTCGCCTCAGAGGTTCTCGGCAGCCCTCAGTTTGGCCGCTTCTGCTAGAGGCTCAAACCTGCTGTTCACTCAGCTAACATCATCATTGGCCAGCATGGGGGAAAACAGAGAACAATCTCCCTAGTCTCTGTTGTCCCACCTAGTGGGTCGGGACAGGCCAGATCCCTTTCCAAATTAGACCTTCCCTTTGGGTGTTGCTCACAGACCAGGTCAACTCCTCCTGTGTCCGATCAGGAGTTTGGGGGGGGCACCCTCTACACCAGGTTTCAGCCCAGGGCCCTGTGGATAGCAGCTGTCTACGTCTCCTGTATCAGCTGTGTGACAGCTACAGCTACAACTCCCTGGGCTACTTCCTCATGGCCTCCCCCCAGACCTTCTTTATCCTCACCACAGGATCTTCCTCCTGAGGTCTGATCACGCTCGTACTCCTCAGTCCTCCAGCAGCACACCTTCTCACTCTCTGCTCCTTGCACACCCTCCACTAACTGATGGGAGGTCCTTTTAAAACCAGGTGTCCTGATTAGTCTGCCTGCTATAACTGATTCTAGTATGTTCTTAATTGGCTCCAGGTGTCTTAATTAGCTTGCCTGTCTTAATTGGTTCTAGCAGGTGCCTGATTGCTCTAGGGCAGCCCCTGCTCTGGTCACTCAAGGAACAGAAAACTATTCATCTAGTGGCCAGTATATTTGCCTTCTGCCAGACTCCTGTAACCCCCACTTAGGCTTCTCCCGCCCACTTCCTGGATCCCAATAAGGCCGGACTCCTGTAACCCTCCCCTTAGGCTTCGCCCGCCCACTTCCTGGATCCCAATAAGGCCGGACTCCTGTAACCCTCCCCTTAGGCTTCGCCCGCCCACTTCCTGGATCCCAATAAGGCCGGACTCCTGTAACCCTCCCCTTAGGCTTCGCCCGCCCACTTCCTGGATCCCAATAAGGCCGGACTCCTGTACCCCACTGCTCTGGGTCTGTCATAATATATATTAACTATATTAACTGTGTTTAGTGTAAACTGCCAAACAAACCTTCTCTAAATCATTTTTCTCGAGTGCCAAGAGATTGCACATTTACATAGCACCTTTTGACCAGAAGAATTCTAAACCACTTTGCAAACTATGTGCATACAGCATCACTTAGATGCAGCCACCTGTTGGATGGAGGAAGACAATCAAAACAAAGCACATGTTACAGAAGTGCGGGGGGGGCTACCAGGGTCTGGGAAGTTTTGGTTAACACCACTCAGGCAAACCATGACTCTCTGACTGCTCTAGCGTCTATATGCACAGATAGGACCTTCATGTTTAAGGTCTCATTAAAAGCACTGCAGAAGGGCTGAGGTGATCCTGCCAAGGCTTGTGGCTGTAATTCTAAAGAGTCCAGATATTTTATAATTTAAGATTAAACTACTAAAAACTTATTGCTGGGAACAGATAACAGTTTGGAAAGCAGGGCTGATTTCTTTTCTCCCCACAAGCATGGAAGATCTCTTCAAGGCTGTTCTCCCTCTCTGCATCCACAGAAGATACATAAACACTTAACAGCTCCAACATTCTCATGTTACTATTTTCACTCTTTAAAAATATCTTTAAAAAAATAGAGTTTAGTCACCTAATCTTTAGTCCTGTGCACTAGATCCCAACTAGTGAGTCTGTAAAGTAATTTTTAAAATCTTCCCTTTTCATTTCTTTGCTACAAAATGGGTAAAAAAAATTTAAACATTTGAACAATATTTAAGTATTTTAGGGTGTTATAATTAAGGATTCCCAGGACTTCAAGTTTGGAAGGAAAATTCTTCCCTGATCCCACCACTAATCTCCCAATTTGAAGGCCAATATTTCTTTGCAGATTTTTTTTTTTTTTTTGAGGGGGAAGCAATGGGAGTTTTATAATGGAAACTTCTATCACCAACAATTAATACAGCAAGTTCTTACCCTTCGAAGTAGCCAGTACATGCAGATTGAAGGAGTGCTCATCTCAAGTAGCAGTCCCATCAGGGGTAGATAGTGTCCAGATTTTATGTTAATTATCAGACCAAGAAGCCCACCAAAGGCAAATAAATGATGAACTACCAAGAACACATCACATGTCCTGAAAACAATATTAGACACATGAACAACTACATTTTCAAACAAGATGAAGCCAGAGGCTATTAAGCAATGAAACCAACTCCACTTTTGCTGTGAATACACTTTGTCAGCTTGGAAAACTGGATCTATGAGCAAGGCCCACAACCCAGCTACACAACTCTGAATTCCAAGCAGGCCACGAGTAATAGCTATATTCGAGAAGACTTTGTCCTTCCCTGACAAAGTGCGATAACTGGCACTGATCCATGAGGCCAGCCAGTGAGCTAGAAGAAATACAATGAGGTAGAAGAAAAATCCAGCTGCTACTAACTTCAAACGAACTTCCCACAGAACATAGTCCCAATCAAATATGACACTCAAGGTTTCAGCAGCATATGCAAAATTCATTTCTTCTCCTCTAATTCAAAATATTTGGAGAGAGTCTGAAGCTTCTCAACCACACGTTGGTCTATCTTAAGGCTACTGAGCCTTTGCTGTTACATGGAGCAGAAACCCACCTGCAATGAAAAAAAAAAGATAGAAGAGACTTGTAGAGACTGGCTGCGTGCATTTTTTCACTCCCCATTTATGAAATCTCACTAGTTTCACTACAGTTTAGAGTTTGTTTCTCTTTCCACTGATATTTCCAAACAATTTAGAACTGACATTAGAAAAAACCTACTCAAGGCTGATAATTAGCCTTCAAGAACTCTACTGGGTATATAAAAGAGAAGATGAGAGAGGGAAACTCTTTGTTTCCTTACTGGCAGAATGATTAGTGTCAATGGATGTTACAGTCACAAAACCTTTACTTTTTGTTCCCAAGTTATATAAAAATATAATACTTTTTCCTCATCGTTTTCCTTACTGGTTTTTCTTCCCTTCCTGTTACTTCTATATACGTAGAATACTCGCTATTCTTTATCTTTTTCAAGTCTTCCTTTGCCTTTATAAATCATCCCTCAAGAAGTCCGTCTGGCTGAAGTGTTTTGCTAATGCTACTGACACCACATTTTTAAAACTATCTTTCACCAGCTTATATGCTACTAGCATCCCCCCCACACCTTCCTCACAGAAGACTTGAAAATTGTTCTATGACCAATGATTTTTACTTCTAACAAAGTTAACATTCTAGGTGTGAACAGAAACAACTCCTATGGACATAAACAAAGGGGGCCAGTGCTAAAGGGAGAAAAAACAAAACAACTGAGGCTTACAATTCTTTAGCAGCATGTTTAAGCATAACTGAACCTTCATTTTTCACCTGTACAGCCCTCTGGATAGGTCTACACAGTGAGTCTCAAGCTCCGATCTACACACTCGGGCTTGCACCATGGTACTAGAGACTCAGGCTCAAGCTACAGCACTAAAAACAGCTGTGTAGATGTTCAGGCTCGAACTGGTGCTTGGATTCTGAAATCCAGGGAGGAGGTGAGTTTGAGATCCTGAACCATGACGTCTACAGTGCTGTTTAGTGCCATAGCGTGAGCCCGAGTCTGTAGACTTGGGCTCTGGGACTCACTCACATTGGTTTTAAAACACAGAGTAGACGTACCCTAAGAATTTTTAGGAATCAAACGTACACACCCAGTTTACAGGGTATAGATCAAAACTGCAACAAACCAGCCACTCTGAGCCTGATTCTCATTTACACTAAGGCCACTTTACATGCCTGGAAGTATAAAGGAGCCCTGAATTGTTGGAACAGAATAACATGGTTGTGACGTTATTGACATAAACTGTGACCATACAGATCATTGTTGCAACCAGGGTCCTATGGTTGCACCAGGTCTTGTACAGAGGAGGCCAAGTGGGGTGTCTATGGGAAGGTTGTAGTTTGCTGGTTATGATTATGTTGTCTGTATGTGTGTATCATTTTTTGTATTTGAAGTTATGAATATTGGCTATGTACTTGTTTGATTCTAAGTGGCCTCAGTGAAGCATTTGGTCAGCTTCTTGAGAAAGGACTATTCTCACTAAGTGCCCAATCAAGAAACACTTAGGTGACAATGGACTTTGGGAGACGCCAATCCACATCTGAGCTTTCCTGCAAACGTTCAAACTAACATGTAAACAATGGCGTCAGCCTGCAAAAAGCGGAATCATTCATAGACATGTGACTTGCCCAGGTGACTGCAAACTCCATCTTGTTGAGGGGATTTTACACAGGAGAACAAAGGGGTTTCCACCCACAAGAAAAAGACTATATAAGGTCCTGGAAACCCCTCCATTTTGTCTTCAGCTGGCTCAAGAGATAGCCTCTCCACCCCAAAGAGATGCCTGAAAGAAACTGGAACAAAAGACAATAACTATGGGGGCATGAGTGATTGCTGGACCCAGACTAGGAAGGAGTCTAGTCTGTGAAAGAAGCTTATTGGAACATCTCTGAGGGTGAGATTTAGCTGCATTTAGTTTCCTACTATATTAGGCTTAGCCTTGTTTTATTTTGTTTGGTAATTTACTTTATTCTATCTGTTATTACTTGGAACCACTTAAATCACTTTTTGCTTATTAATTAACCCAGAGCAAGTAATTAATTCCTGGGGGAGCAAACAGTTGTGCATATCTCTATCAGTGTTATACAGGGCAAACAATTTATGAGTTTACCCTGTATAAGCTTTATACAGAGTAAAACAGATTTATTTGGGGTTTGGATCCCATTGGGAACTGGGTATCTGGGTGCTAGAGACAAGAGCACTTCTTAAGCTGTTTTCAGTTAGGCCTGCAGCTTTTGGGGGACGTGGTTCAGACCTGGGCCTGTGTTTGCAGCAGGCTAGCGTGTCTGGCTCAGCGAGACGGAGTACTGAAGTCCCAAGCTGCCAGGGAAAACGGGCTCAGAAGTAGTCTCAGCACATCAGCTGGCAGTCCCAAGGGGGTCTCTGTGACCCAACCCGTCACAGTGGCCTCAATGCAAATGAGAATTGCGTCCTATATCTATGGTACGTATGTACACACACTTTATTATTTTGTTTAGGAAAAAAAGAAAATCAGTAACGTTATAAATATTCTTCATTAGAGGTTTACATAAATGGACCTTTGATACACGGAAGCATGTACTATTGGCCTGTTATAATTAGAACTTTTTAATCTTTTTCTATATTAAGTCACAGTATGAAGAATAAATAAACTTTTCAAAGTTAAAAAAAAAAAAAAAAAAAAAGACAGCCCTCCTTAGAGTTCTCTCTTCTGTGAGGTGTTTTAATTACGCATGCAGCATCACAGGAATGCACGTTTGTAGTCTTGCATACACAAAGAAAAACAGAAGTAGAAAAACAGAGGTTAACAATGGACAAAGCATGAATTCCCAAGGGATCTTGTAAATAATATGAAGCTAGTATATAAAGAAATAGAAAAAGAGTAAAGTGTGATAGGCTTGCAGCTACAGCTTTGCTTACTAGTAGTTTGTAGCACATGGATAGCTTGTGATTCATACAGGGCCTGTTTCACAGAATTAGTAAGCCAATTATAAAGCATGTGATACAATGTAGAATATAATGCATGTGTTAGTCTGTTTTAGAATATGTATATAATCTGATTTATAACTATGTACTTTGGAGTTGTGATGCACCCTAACCTGCCCCATTACATCTGAGTCTGATCACCTCAGGTACAGATTTCCGAAATGCCAATAGAGAAACCTTAGTAACGAGTCCTGATCTGGACTGAGTTTTTGGATTCCACAGAACTGGATAAAAGTGTTCTTGCAGAACTGAAGTGTTCTGAATCAGTCGAGTGGAAAAGGTCTCGGAGGGAATCCCAACAGTGTTGTTTTGCTTGCAATTTGGAATATCAGACACCAAAAAACAGAACATAATTCTACAAAATGATAGTCTAGTAAATGCATGAGTAAGGGCTTGTAGGATCATCTTGTGAACAAAATTGCATGGTCAACTTCTGAACAGAATTAGACCACATTCTAAAAAGGTTTTTTATTCCTGAAGCTAATTAAGGACATAGAGAAACAACCTCTTTATTGTCCACCCCAGCATCACAATTATTATTAATTGTATCGTCCCGAATTTTTAAGCTTGGGGGCATAAAGTTAATTAAAATGCCCTCCACATGGTATGGTTTAAAGAAGATGAACATTTTATTATGTTTTTGTTTTAAAGTATCCATAAGCACAGGTCCATTTTGCTGACGTATTGGACAAGATTGCCATGACCGCTGGACACAGCACATCCTGTCAATGTGGCCAGGGGAAGAACTGCCCAGAGAGTATCTAATTTCACACAGTTTGACTGGCAGCTCTGGTGGGAGGCAGAAGAGGAAGCCATATGGATAGTTAGCAGTATAGGTAAAAAGCTTCTATAGAGATGCCTTCCTTTCCTGCACCCCAATATAATAAATAACAGAAAAGGAGGATGGCAGTCTTATAGCTAGAGAGCAAAGGAATATTGCTTATTTATATTCTCAGGGGGCCTGATTCTGCTCTCCTTTACACCAGAGCAACCCCAAGGGCCCTTCCTTCCCACTGCCTTGCATCCTGAAACAGTAAGAGAGTTAAGAATTCTAAGTTGCTAGAATTTTACACTCACTCTGCACAGATACATAGTAGACACCAGAATTACAAACACCTCAGGAATGGAGGTTGTTCATAACTCTGAACAAAACGCTATGTTCTTACTTTCAAAAGCTTACAACTGAACATTGACTTAATACAGCTTTGAAACTTTACGATACAGAAGAAAAATGCTGCTGTCAACCATCTTAATTTAAATGAAACAAGCAAAGAAAGTTTCCTTATCTTGTCAAATTTTTTTTTTAAAGTCTCCCCTTTTTTTCCAGTAGTTCACATTTAACACAGTACTGTACTGTATTTGGGGGGGTTTTTTTGGCTCTGCCACTGCCAGATTGCTTACTTCGGTGTAGTGTAGTAAACTGCTTTGCATCCTACTGTACCAGCTACGGGTCCTGAGCATGCTCAGTTCATCTGCTGAAGCCACTGCCCTTCACCCTGCCCTTATTAGCTATATGTATGTGAGAAATTCCTATCTGTAGGATAGTACTACCTGCAGCAGTGACAGGTTCTACTTTGCTAAAAAGGCCATCTGGTGTAGCTAATTCAAGAAGTCTCACATGTAAAAGCAACCTGATAGCTTTCTTTAACAGTGTAACAAGTCTTGTGGATTGGGGGGGGTGGGGGGTGGGAAGAGAGTGGTCGACATGATCTCTCTTGCCTTTAGTGAGGCTTTTGATACAGTCTCCCATGACCTTCTCATAAACAAACTACGGAAATGCAACCTAGATGGAGCTAAAATAACACTGGTGCAAAACTAGTTGGGAAAACAGTTCCGACAGTAGTGATCAGTGATTCACAGGCTGAAAGGGCCGAGTCAGGCTGAAAGGGGATAACAAGTAGCGTTCTCCAGGAATCAGTTCTGGATAGGTTTCTATTCAAATCTTAATCAATGATTGAGATATGTAATAGAGAGTACACTTACACAGTTTATGAATGATAACCAAGGAAGGAGTACTGGGGAAAGGGATCTGCAGGTCATAGTGGACCACAAACTGAATATGAGTACTGTGGAAAGGGATCTAGGGGTCCTAGTGGACTACAACCTGAATGAGTGAACAGTGTAATGCTGCTGCAAAAAAACAGAACATCACTCTGGGACGTCCGCTCTACTCTGCGCGGATTAGGTATTGTGTCCAGTTCTGGGTGCCACATTTCAGGAAAGATGTGGACAAATTGGAGAAAGTCCAGAGAAGAGGAGGAAAAAAAAGTAAGGTCTAGAAAACATGACCTATGAGGGAAGTAGCATCTTTTTACAAAAGCTGTTTCTTACAATCTAAACCTATCAATAATTGCTACAGATAGCACTTTTCTACCTGTAGCAATTTCACATACACTACAGTGCAAGGAACTGCTACCTGCAGGCATTTGTTACATCAGTAGCAGTTTACTGCAAGAGCAGTTTCTTACAATCTATACACATCAATAACTGCTACTGGTAGCACATTACTACACTGAGCAGTTTACTACACTACAGCTGTTCCCAAAGAGGTGTATGGTTAGGATGAAAAATCGGGACAGGGGGTGGAGAGTTATAGGACCCTATATAAGAAAGAGACCCCAAAATCGGGACTGCCCCTATAAAATCAGAACATCAGGTCACCCTATGTGTGGTTGACTGAGCAGTTCCTGACTCCGGTAACATTCTCCTGTATATAAATAGGCAACGTATAAGGAAGTGGAGAATCAGGCCATTAACATCAGCATAGTTACAAGGGTGTGAAGAGAAAGCAACAGAAACTTCCCACTCTTAACTCCCCACAAAAAAAGACAAACACCTCCTCACCCCTCCCCAGCTACATACAGCCCTCTAAATATGGTGGTTCACAGGCTGTGTGAAATTCCCCTGACTTCATACAATAGCCTCTCCTGGAAGTAGGATGTTTTCTCAGCATTTAAGCAAAACCAGCAGTTAGTTAACGCTGTCTCATCCCCATTTCCTCCCCCTCCTCACAAGAAGAAACAGTAATGCTACTTACTGGCTGGTCTGCTTCAGTTACTCTGCAGTTCCTCCCCGCAGCCTCTCCGCTTTCCTGTCTTGTGTTCAACAGCTACAATCAGCCGAAAAGTCCGGGCTGCTTCTTCCACCTTTTATGCAGAAGTAGCTGCCCCCTAGAATGGAAATGCAACAGCGTGGAGCCCTAGTTCAGCACTGCAGAAAGAAGAGACCCCTGCACGCAGAATAGTGTTACATTTATCGCTTTTCCTGCCCCACCCTTTGTTTCCGCCCGACGTAAACTGTAGCTCCTGCCCTGGGGGGAGTGGAGCGCACGAAATAACCCGCACTGGCAAGCCGGACTCTGGGGTTGTTGACAGTTCTCCTTGGATCTTAATGTCTTAATTCTGCAGCGCAGGAGGGGGTCAGGCCACACTCTGCCTTGCTGCTGCAGCCAACTTTCGCGTTGCACTGAGCAAAAGGGCGATCGCCCCCCCGTACAGAGGCGTGAGAAACATTGCATGGTGGAGTGTTGTCATTGGCAGCCGCAGGCTGTAGGATGCAAAAACATGTCCGCTGCAAAGCCATCCTGAGCCCAGCTAGAGCCACGGAGAGAAACGTGGAAGCTGGAACCGAGGGAGAGACCGCCACCTCTCCAATACCCCGCTGTGGGCAGGACGTGTGTCTGTCCTGCCCAGCAATAGTGTGTCACGCGTGTGTTGGCGGTATCGTGCCTCGGCTGTGGTATATGAAGGGACCCACGTCTTGGTTTTGTGCAGCTTGGTGTCGGACATTTCTCACCGGCCGTAGAATGACAGATTTCCCTCACCGGCCCCGGCAGGGTGGGGATGCGGCAGGATAGTCTCCAACGTGCCCTGCAGAAGCAGGACTGGGGTGCAGTACCGGGGGTGGCACCATGGCGCCGGGCCCAGAGTCAGAAGGGGCCCCGGCCAGCCCGATCCCCCGGCCGGCTGAGACGGCCAGGAAAGCTGCCCCCACCCCTGCTCCGCCCCCGCCCTGCCTCTTCCTACCCCTGCTCCGCCGCAGCCCCACTCGAGTCCTTCCCCTGAGGACTGCAGCCGGTGTCGGGCGTGCACTCACTGAGGGGCAGTAAGTGGAGCGACCCGGCCCCAGCCTGCTCCGCTCCGCCGGCTCCCAGCTTCGCCACCGGTGAGTGCTGGGGGGCGGTTCGCCCCCACCACCCCCCCCAATCCCGAGCCAGGGGAGCAGAGCAGAGCGGGCTGGGGTCGGGTCACTCCACTTCCCACCGCCCCGTGAGCGCGGGGTCGGGCCTGCCCTGCAAGCACTGGGCAGCAGGAAGTGGAGTGACCTGGCCCCAACCCGCTCCCCTGGGTCGTGCTGGGGGGGCAGTTTCCAAGCCTGGGGAGGAGATGGAGTGGTGGGGAAGGGGCATGGGATGGGGAAGAAAAGGGGATAGGGGAAGTGGGGACAGGGGGGAAGCTGGAGCCCAGCATATGGCATCCCCTTGACCGACTGGGTTACACTTGGAATCACACTTTCAGGCTTTTCTTCCCAACCATAGGGGTATAAACTTTTTTCTTTTTTTAATTACAATGTGAATCACACAAATGTAGGTGCTGGACTTTAAAAAAAACATCTAGTATTGAGAGAGACTATAAAATCCCACCAGTTGGCAACATACTGTGACAAATTTTATTTACCAAATTAAGTTGGTTCCTCAGGAGAAATTAAGTGCATTCAACTATCTTTGGCATTTTGTGCTAAAAGATCACTGCAACAAAAGCTGATTTTGAGATACGGATGAGGTGCTTTGTTCCTCAGTAAAGTTTATCTGATGGAAGATTATTCAGGACTAGCCAATTACATCTGGAAACAAGCTCCCTTGTTAAGCAGGCCCATTGAACCCTCACCCTGAAAAGCGCCACCTCCCCCGCATCTGTACCTCCCTGATGAGCCTCAACCACCTCTCCCTGGACTCCCACCCAAATGAACCCCACCTCCCCTGCACCTCGACCCCCCTGCTGAGCCCCAAATACCTTCACCTGGATCCCCTGCAGAGTCCCATTGCCCCTGCACCTGGAACCCCCCAATGAGCTTCTGTGCATCCAGATCTCCCACTGAGCCACCCACACCCAGATTGCCCACAGAGAACTCTCTTACCCCTACCTGGATCCCCCCACACTAAGTCCCTCTGCACTTGGATCCTGCTGCTGGGCTGAGTCTGCTCACCCACATCTGGTGCGCCTGGCACAGGGGGGCAGGGCCCCAGCGCGTTTCTGGGGCACGCCTGGCCCTTGCACTGTGTCAGGGTCAGGTGCAGCCTCACTGCTGAGTCCCTGTCCTGAGGTGGTATGGAGGAAGGCTGTAGGGTATTCTCCCGCCTCATGCAACCAGTGGCCTGTGCTCCCTACTGCCATGTTGGAGCCTCCACATTTATTTATTGACAAATAAAATTTTCAGAATTTTAAAATATTGTGCACAGAATTTTTAATTTTTTGGTGGAGAATCCCCTCAGGAATATGGGGTGCTGTGCAGCTGTGATGGTGGGACTGTGAGGAAGGTGGTGGGCAGTGGGGAGGTCTATGGGCAGGGGGCGCTGGGCGAGTGGTGTGGTGTGCAGAGTGCTGTACAGTTGTAGTGGGAGGCCAGCCGGGAGGTCTCTGGGAGGGGTGGGGGCTGGGCATAGAGATCTGTGGTAGAGGTCTCTGGGTGAGGGGGCACTGGGCATAAGGGGGGGCCCTAGGCATAAGGGGGGGCCCTGGGCAGGGGGGTGATGTGGTGCGGACCTGCCCTCAAAGGGAAGGGGCATGCTGGCAGCACAGGGATGGACAGGCCAGTGTGTGTCTGGCAGTTGCAGGTTCGTAAACAGTGCACTCCTGCTGGCTGCGCAGAGCGGGGCTGCTCTCGCCGTGCTGTGCCTCACTGCCCCCAGCCTGCCCTTCACTCTGGAGGCTGACCATCCCACCCCCTGCAACTTGCCCCATGGGGGCCCGCAAATATGTTTGGTGCCAGGCCCACAAAAAGTTAATCTGACCCTGCTGCGGTAGGGATGAGCGGGGTTGGCGAAGGCAGGGTGACTGGGGAAATCGGTGAGGATTTAGGGTACTAGAGAGAGTCTGGGGGAGCAAGATGCCTGGGGGTTGTTTGGAGAGGGACTGTGGAGGAGAACAGGCTAACTGGGGGTGGGAGGGGAGAAGAGAGAGGAGAGGTGGGTGATGGAGCCTGGACCAGATGGGGAAGGGTGATTGGAAGCATTGAGACCCTCAAGCGTTATTGGGGGGGGGGAGTTTGGAGCTGCCTCCCCCACCTACATTACTTCCACTTAGCTTCCCCCACTCTAGCTCTGTGCCCCACTATTTAGCTCCTTTCCCTGTCTGCCCCTTCCACCTTCCGCCCAGCCCCCAACTTTGCAGCTCACCAAGTCTCCTCTCGCTGTTGCCTGGAGCGCGGCCATCTGCTGCTTCCTGCTGATACTGGCTGGGAACGAGCGTGGGGAGCGGGTTAAGCCATAGTTAGTATGGTTTCAGTTTCATCTTGCAGTTCTCTTGCCTTGGCAAAATGCTGCCGTGCTTGGGTTCTTGCTTTTCAAAAAATTCTTAGAATCTAACATGAATAGAAATATTATGTATTTATTTCTAATTGATGGAACCTAAATTTGTGGCTTAAAGAACCTGATATTGTCCCTTTAATTATCACAAAATTAATTTTAGAAGCCAGGGCCGGCCCACAACATTTTGGCACCTGAAGAGGGGAGCTCAAATGACACCCCATGCCCACTTGCTTGGGCCAAAGCTTTGAAAGGTCTCAATTCTGCCTTCTTCCTGTTCTACTCCTCTCATGGAAATGCTCTGCTACCTACCCCAGTAAAGAAGAACTAACAACTTAAAATGCCTTGTTCAAAAATTTTAGTAACACTTAACTTTCAAATGCCTGAACAGCAAATGTAACTTTTCTTGTCTGCATAGTAAACACTGGCATTTTTATCTGTTTTGTTGGATCATATTAAAGAAGTTCTGTATTAAAATCACAAATGAGTTTGATTCCCCATAGTTTAAATTCCAGGGTATTACTAATTAAGAGCTCTCTTGGTTTTTGGTACTGTTTCTCTCCCTCTATGTGTGAAACTTGCAAGCTGCTAATTGCATTAGTACATTCTAAGACAGAGTCTGTTCTCAAAGCAATTTACACAGAGAGAGATTCAAAGCAATACTCTGTAACAACAGAAACAGCACCCAGAGACTCCCCGCCCTTTTGTTGTATTAACAATTGTGATTAAAATAGAGATAGAGAATGTATGTGGATGGATGCTTGGTGTGGATAATAACTGAATGATCAGGGAGGTGCCAGCCTAAGAATCCAGTGTCCATCGGCTGAAGAAGGCGTCAAGTGGAAATAAGCAGAGGACCCTCGGAGGGCACACTGGAATCCACCCAACAGCCTCAAGAATGGGAGAACCAAAGAACAAGATAACATCTAGCAGCACGGAGCTGTCAGGAATGTGCTATCTGCTGATTGATTCAGCAAAAGCATGATGAAGCAATTCCCATAGACTGGCATAGGAAGAAATTCCTATAAAAATGGACTCTAGAAAGTGAGAACTTTGGGGTCTGATTCTGCAAACCAACTTCCAGGAGCATCAGATGAGCATCTGACAAGGCCCTGCTCCCTCCTCATGTCCAGGCCACCTCGCCAGTGGCTTGGCATGAGCAACTCTAAGGCTGGTAACTATGATAACAACCTTGCAGAAACTGTGTATGTGTGTGTTTGTATGAATGAATGTGTGAATAAATATGAGATTGAATGGAATGTTATAGCTATAACTAACTGCTTACTATGATTCTGTCTGTATTCACAATAAATGAGGTATTTTGCCTTTTCCCCTTTAATAAGATCCTGCTGGTTTTTATTTTATTGGTATAACAGTTTGAATAATCACAGTGATGCTTTCCGTACTTTCTTGGTTGCAAAGATTTGAACTGCTTTCTGAAAGTCCACAGTCTGGGCCAGCTCATGCTCTATTGAGATGGTTGCAAGGCCGACCAGCCTCTCCTGTGTCATTGTGGAGCATAGATTTATTTTTATTAACTTCAGCTTGGAGAAGCTGTGTTCTCCACTGGCAACTGTTACAGGAAGCGGTCTCAGTTTGCCTTATGGTAAGGCCAGCCCTGTAGGCAGGATTAAGCTCTCATCCTTCAGAGCTAAAGAAACTTAAAAAGAAAAGATGCTACCAGTCTAGGTCTAGAGAACTGAGAGCAATCTATGTATATCTGCATAACAGCAATAACCTGACCAAATGGTAACTCTGTACACATAAGTTTACTTGTTGATGTTATAATTTTAGAGGGATACATACCAGGTGAACTTCTCTTATCCTCCCCTTTAACAAGTTCTGAGCCTCCCTCCTTCTCTGCCTCCTCCCCAACCCCCTTCAAATAAAGTAAATGAATTTGATCCAGCTTCTTATATTATGCCCATATCTGGGTGCTCAAGGTACACAACCAAGGTGAAAGTCACATTAATAAAAATAATGCCCTAGCTATATTTTTAACAATACTGAAGAACACTCCTCCCTTCCAAATAAGAATTCAGTTTTGATACATATCAGCTTCTCTTTCTGGTTCTTTTGTGCTAGCAAACACTGGTAGGTGAACAATGTTATTCATTAAATACCACTGATGTGCCGGATGCTTTAGGAGGTATAAAATATAACTAGGCTCCTGCCCTGCCCCTGAGCAGTTTACACTGGCTCAGGAGAATGTTAGGGGAAGGAAATTTACTTTTTCCTAAAGGGAAATACTTTTATTTGAAATTGTAAAAGAGTGTAATATAAGCTATTCTGTTCATTATATGTTTTATAAAATCAGTTTTAGAAAACCTATTTTTCCCTATTAATACTTAAAAAATAAGAGATACAGCACGCACTGCACAGATCTATGGAAATACCTATTCATCTGCCTAAACCCATTAGGGCCCACCCTTCTAATATCCTTTTGCAGCCCAGCCCTACTGTTAATTCCAGTACTAAAATCAAGGCCGGCTTCACTAAGTACTGCTTCACTGAAGAGACAAAAGCTATACCCTCAAATGATCCCGACACCCAGATACCATACTGCACAATTTCAGGAGAAAGGTACATTCCGACATGGTCAGCCTTTATCTCAGCACTACATGAGGTGCCAGACTTCCTGTCAGAATTTACTACATACATTATACTGAGCATGCTCACATGAACTGAGTACGCTCAGTAACATCTGCTGAAGCCACTGTCCTCACTCTGCCCTTACTTGGAATCAGATTCTGCTGTATGCTCTTTGGCGGGGTAAAAAGGGGGCAAATTGGAGGCGGGGGATAGGCACGGCCTGAGCAGGAGGCGGAAATTTACTGGATGGTGGAGTCAAGCAGCTGGAGGCAGGGGCAGGAGAGGGGCTGAAGAGGAAAATCAGGGATGGGGGGGCTAGAAGCCAGGGTTCACCTCGGGGGACAGCGCTGCACAACCATGGTAGAGGGCAAAGTCCTGGCACAGGGAGAGGCAGAGGGGGGTAACAGTTACCCCACTGGGATGAGCCCCCTGCTGTGTTTTCAAAAATAGAGATGGGGGGAAATGGGCTTTTTTATTTCCCTTCGCACAGGACAGTATGCCTCAGCACGGGCTTCCCAGGGCTAGGTTCTTAAAGGCACAGTGTATCCCAATGCTGAGTCACTATAGCTCCTCTCTATCTGATATAACATGCTGAGGTGATACAGGAGACTTGATTCAGTGAAATATTTTACATATAGCCCCTCAAAAACTGTGTGTCACATATTTTAAAAATAAAAAGAAGCCCTTATCAGTTTGTCTACATGAAGTCTCATAACAGTTCACAAATTTGTCTTATCTGCTGCGATTCCCTGAATTGTGCTCCTTCCTTGTAATCCATTTTGAATATAGCTTGCTCCTTTTACAATGTTATTTTTATTACTCTTATTACTCTTACCACGTCATCATTTACCTTTTTATCATTATGCAGAAGCATGTCATCGTGCTATTTTTATTTGAATAGCAAATAGTCATCAAAATATTTATATGTAAATAGTTGCTAGGAGTTTGAGCAATGATTCTAGTATAGCACTAGCTATGTTTTTTACTGTGATTTTTAATTCTAACTTTTTCTTTTTATTTTTATAACACAAGTTTATTCTGTTGGATCATGTGACTTCCAGTCTGACTGATGTCCTGGCCTGTTGTCAAAACTTCACTGGCATTTGATCCACCGAAGGGGATTGCCTTTTGCAATGGTTATTTTGCCTCTCAATCCCAGCCCCAAGTGCTTTTTCACGTCATTGCTTGGGTGTAGAACTTGAGTCTCAAATATTCAATAAGAGCAGTACACTATCTCATATTACATCCATCTCAAGGGCAAAAATCTTCTGTAACTGCTGAACATAAGAACGACCACAGTAGGTGAGACTAATGGTCCATCTAGCCCAGTATCCTGCAGTGTCCATCTAGCCCAGTATCTTGCAGTGCTGGCTACAAAAGTGCCATGCGAACATCTGTTCTCACTTTCAGGTGACACTGTAAATAAGAAGCGGGTAACATTATCTCTCGTAAATGTAAACAAACTTGTTTCTCTTAGCGATTGGCTGAACAAGAAGTAGGACTGAGTGGACTTGTAGGCTCTAAAGTTTTATATTTTGTTTTTGAGTGCAGGTATGCAACAACAAAAATCTACATTTATAAGTTGCGCTTTCACAGTAAAGAGATTGCACTACAATACTTGTGTGAGGTGAGTTGAAAAATACTATTTCTTTTGTTTATCATTTTTACAGTGCAAGTATTTGTAATAAAAATAATATAAAGTGAGTACTGTACACTTTGTATTGTGTTGTAATTGAAATCAATATATTTGAAAATATAGAAAAACATCCAAAATATTTAATAGATTTCAATTGGTATTCTATTGTTTAACAGTGCGATTAAAACTGCAATTAATCATTATTACTTTTTTTACTCATGATTAATTTTTTTAGTTAATCACACTAGTTAACTGCAACTAATTGACAGCCCTAGAAACATTATTTAAAGTTTTCAAAGTTTACAAAAAGACAGCCCTGTTTCTTACAGTTCTCTTCTGTGAGGTGTTTTCACAAAGTATGCAGCATCACAGGTGTGCACATTTGCAGGCCTTGCATGCACAAAAATAACAGAAGTAAGGAAACAGGACAAGTGGACCAAGCATTAATTCACAAATGTCCCTGGAAATCATATGTAGCTAGTAGATGAAGAAATAATCAGAAAAAGAGTAAAGTGTGATAAGCTTGCAGCTGCAGCTTTGATTACTAGCACAGTTTGTAGTGCATGGATACCTCATGATGAAGGATACGATTTGGGCATGGATTCCATGACTTTAACTTTCTGGTGACAGCTTCAGAATGAAATTCACCTTGTGAAGGGGTTCAAGTAAGGTTCTGTCTATCAGTGATTAGTATTCAGGCTTAAGCAGGTAACGTGAATTTCAGCCCCCCCCCCCCCCCCGCCAGAACTTCTCCCCACCCCCTCAACAAGCTTAAACCAGCTTTTCTAGATAGCATTTAGAATACCTTCCATCTATTAACCAGACAGAATACATGTAGATTCTTCTGTATGTAACCCTTCTACCCATCAAAGTTGACAGCAACAAGGGCTGGGTTCAGTATCAAATTTGGGACAGGGAGTGCCTGGACAGACACTGGAAATGGTATTATTTATGAAACCCTTCTACCAGGTTGAGTCAGCAGCAACAAGGGCTAGCTTCAATATCTAGGGGTTCCTTCTGTCAATACAACACAGATCAGGCTCGAGCCACCACTCGTTAATATGGGAAAATTACATACCACCCGTGGGTGCCTCTAGAGACAATATTTCCCCTCTCGCAAGCACTGAGTCTGGATATACAAAAGAAAACTTTCACTAAAAAGGGGAAAGGAACGGATCCGGGAATTAATTTGGGAACACATCACAGGCATGATTCAAAATCATATGACCATGATGAAAACACCCATCCTAGAGTACATTGGGCAATGTCCTTGGCCTCAGGTTCTCAGCTTGCAGTGAGAAAGTCTAACGAACAAATGTTCATTTCACACCCCACTCTCCACTCCCTCCACTGCACCCCTCACAGTTCTTCCCCTTGGTCAGTGAAGACTCATAGTTCAAAGGTGCACTCACATGAGTTCATCTCCCACTCCAGGTATGCCACTCCACCATCGTTCACTCTGCCCCTGCGCTATCAGCCACTGCATCATCCACTCACTTCACCACTGCGCTGTCGGCCACTGGGTCACTGTTCACTCCACCTCTGTACAGCAACATCTGTGATGATGTGATGGGGTGACCACCCCACACAGGACTGGAAGGGGTTAAGATGACCTGATGGGCTAATTAACTCCACAAGCTGCCCCCAGAGGAGAAGCCAGGGAGCAGGGAACTGACTGGAAGCAGGCTCAGCTGGAGGGACCTATATAAGTCAGGAAGCTGGCACAAATGAGGCTTCAGAGGTATAGTCTGTAGTCACTCCTTGGGAGGCATGTCTGGGACTATAAAGGGTCCACAGTTACTCCCTGAAAGGAGAGTGTGGTTTGGCAAACCCAGAGAGGGGAAGAGCCAGAGACGTAGGTAAGGCTCCAGGGAAAAGCAGCGAGGTGTGGGATAGGTCAAACCTTGGCTGCTGATGAGAGGGCCTCTGAACTGGGACCCAGAGTAGAGGGCCAGCCCAGGTCCTCTACTCGCCATTGATGAAGTTGCACCAGCGGAGCAGGAAGACTCCTTGAGCCCATTTGTTAAGAGATGGAAGTCTAAGTCATGGAAAGGAGGCTGCGGTTCCTGGAGTGAGAGGGATCTGCAGGGTGAGAGGATGACAGAAGAGACCCCACGAGGGGAGGGCACAATGCCTGGCTGGAGCTAATACCCAGGAGGCACCATCAGCAGCGAGTGAACCCCAGGACAGAAGTTTTGAGGTCCTACCACTTAGCTCAGTGATTTCAGCTTGTTAGTGGGGGAGCCTCACCGCTAGTGCTGGCTGTGGCAGTCTTTCACTGGAGACACTATCCCACAGCAGGCTTAAGCCTAGGCCTGATTATCAGTGATTTCAACTCCAGTGGTCTGTAATTGAGAGTCTTTTGTTTTCTTAAGTTTAATCAGCTCAGTCTTTAAACAGTGGAGGGGGCAAAGTCAAAGGGTGTCTAGGACTGTTAGGCAGAACCCACACCACGATGTATACTTTATTATGAATTATTATTTGTATTATGGAAGTGCCTAAGGACCAATGGAGAATGGTCTCCCGGGCGCTAGATGTTGTACAAACAGAGTCACAGACTGGTCTGTAGGCCTAACTTGACATGAGTAAGTTGACATAAGTAAGGGGAGGGATAGCTCAGTGGTTTGAGCATTGGCCTGCTGAACCCAGGGTTGTGAGTTCAATCCTTGAGGGGGCCATGTAGGGATGGGGCAAAAATTGGGGATTGGTCCTGCTTTGAGCAGGGGGTTGGACTAGATGACCTCTTGAGGTCTCTTCTAACCCTGATATTCTATGAACTGTGTCTGAGTTCTATGAACTAAGACCTTATTTCTCAGTGGGCCAGACTGAGAAGGTGAATGGAGGACTAAGCTGTGTAAATAAGGGCTTAACAAGCACTGGACTGGAGTCAGTCTAGCTAAGATAAACAGGGACACCTTAAACTAGGGACAAATAGACCAAATAAACTTGGAATGTGGAGAGCAGCTTATACTTGAACAGCACATATAGAGCATGATGTAGAGGGAATGGTTCCTGAAAAGCAGCCATGCCAGTAATGAAATGAATAATCTTCCATAATTGGGAAATGTCTTATAACAATCAAATGCCTTCTTTAAGTCACTGTCATAAACATACAGCTAAGGGTAGCATAAAATCCCTCCTTTACCTGTAAAGGGTTAATCAGTTCCATTAACCTAGTTGACACCTAACCAGAAGGACCAATGGGGAAAGAAGATACTTTCAGATCTGGTGGGGGGGAAGGTTTTTGTTTGTGCTCTTTGTTGCTCTCTCTAAGACCAAGAGAGACCAAGCAAGTAATCCAGCTCCTACTGAATGATACATCTAAAAATACAGAAATAGTAAGTAATAGCAAGGAAATGCGTTAGAGTATCTTTTGTTTTAGCTTGTGAATTTTCCCTATGCTAAGAGGAAGGTTTATTCCTGTGTTCTATAACTTTAAAGTTTTGCCTCGAGGGGAATCCTCTGTGTTTGAAATCTTATTACCCTGTAAAATTACCTTCCATCCTGATTTTACAGAGGTCCTTCTTTTACTTTTTTTTCTTTATAATAAAGTTCATAGAATATCAGGGTTGGAAGGGACCTCAGGAGGTCATCTAGTCCAACCCCCTGCTCAAAGCAGGAAAAATCCCCAACTAAATCATCCCAGCCAGGGCTTTGTCAAGCCTGACCTTAAAAATTCCTAAGGAAGGAGATTCCACTACCTCCCTAGGTAACGCATTCTAGTGTTTCACCACCCTCCTAGTGAAAAAGTTTTTCCTAATATCCAACCTAAACCTCCCCCACTGCAACTTGAGACCATTACTCCTTGTTCTGTCATCAGCTACCACTGAGAACAGTCTAGATCCATCCTCTTTGGAACCCCCTTTCAGGTAGTTGAAAGCAGCTATCAAATCCCCCCTCATTCTTCTCTTCCGCAGACTAAACAATCCCAGTTCACTCAGCCTCTCCTCATAAGTCATGTGTTCCAGTCCCCTAATCATTTTTGTTGCCCTCTGCTGGACTCTTTCCAATTTTTCCACATCCTTCTTGTAGTGTGGGGCCCAAAACTGGACACAGTACTCCAGATGAGGCCTCACCAATGTCAAATGAGGGGAATGATCACGTCCCTTGCTCTGCTGGCAATGCCCCTACGTACACATCCCAAAATGCCACTGGCCTTCTTGGCAACAATGGCACACTGTTGACTCATATCCAGCTTCTCGTCCACTGTCACCCCTAGGTCCTTTTCTGCAGAGCTGTCCTTGTTGAACCTCATCAGATTTCTTTTGGCCCAATCTCTAATTTGTCTAGGGCCCTCTGTATCCTATCCCTACGCTCCAGGATATCTACCTCTCCTCCCAGTTTAGTGTCATCTGGAAACTTGCTGAGGGTGCAATCCACACCGTCCTCCAGATCATTAATGAAGATATTGAACAAAACCGGCCCCAGAACCGACCCTTGGGGCACTCCACTTGATACCGGCTGCCAGCTAGACATGGAGCCATTGATCACTACCCGTTGAGCCCGACAATCTAGCCAACTTTCTCTCCACCTTATAGTCCATTCATCCAGCCCATATTTCTTTAACTTGCTGGCAAGAATACTGTGGGAGACCGTGTCAAAAGCTTTGCTAAAGTCAAGGAACAACACGTCCACCGCTTTCCCCTCATCCACAGAGCCAGTTATCTCGTCATAGAAGGCAATTAGATTAGTCAGGCATGACTTGCCCTTGGTGAATCCATGCTGACTGTTCCTGATCACTTTCCTCTCCTCTAAGTGCTTCAGAATTGATTCCTTGAGGACCTGCTCCATGATTTTTCCAGAGACTGAGGTGAGACTGATTGGCCTGTAGTTCCCAGAATCCTCCTTCTTCCCTTTTTTAAAGACGGGCACTACATTAGCCTTTTTCCAGTCGTCTGGGACTTCCCCGGATCACCATGAGTTTTCAAAGACAATGGCGAATGGCTCTGCAATCACATCCGCCAACTCCTTTAGCACTCTCGGATGCAGAACATCCAGCCCCATGGACTTGTGCTCGTTCAGTTTTTCTAAATAGTTCTGTTTTTAAGAATCTGATTGGGGTTTTAGTGTCCTAAAAACCCAAGGGTCTGGTCGGTGCTTACCTTGTTTACTCTCAAGCCTCCCCAGGAAAGGGGGTGAACGGGCTTTGGGGGATATTTTGGGAAAACAGGAACTCCAAGTGGACCATTTGCTTAATCTCACTTGGTGGTGGCAGCAATATCGTCCAAGGACAAGGAAGAATTTGTGCCTTGGAAGTTTTTAACCTAAGCTGGTAGAAATAAACTTAGGGAGTCTTGCATGCGGGTCCCCACATCTGTATCCTAGAGTTCAGAGTGGGGAGGGAACCCTGACAGGCACATGACACACTTTGGAATCAGAGATTTTGTTTTAAAAAATAGTAATATACAAATATATAGACTACTCAAGTATGCATCTCAATACATTGGTGGAAGTCATTAACTGTTATCTATAAACTATTACTGGGCCATATTAGTAATCATCTAAATGTCAGCTGGGTAAGAGTCCATCCTATCAGCTCTTCAACCCACCAAATTTGAGAACAATACACCAAGTGCATCTGAAATTGCAAGAAGAGTGCACTGACCTTTTCATGATTTCTAGTTTTATTGTTCTGTCACCAGTCCTATGAAAGGCCAAATAGTGTCAGAAATATTGGTTTGTTTCCTAATGGATTCTTGTAATTATGACATTTAGGGCTAGAGCTATAAAAGGACTTAGGAGTCCAACTGCCACTGAGATCCTCAAAACCCTCATTCAGCTGCCACATAACCTTTTAGATGCCTATATGGCCACCATTAAAGTCCCATAAGTGCTTACGTTTCTGCATATGCACAGCCACCTCAGTCTACATGCCAGGTTGCTTAAGCTCATTTCTAAACCCAGGCTGGCTCCTCAGACTAGGCTCTCCCCCAGCTATCTTGCCTGTCCGGCCTGATCCAGAAGACCTGGTCCGAGCAAGTCTCACCCCACACAAAACAGCTAGCAGAGGTGGTAATAGTAGTGATGGTGCCTCTAATAACATTTAGCCCAATGGTCAGAGCACTCACCCAGGATATGAGAGAGCTGGGCTTAGTACCCCCTCTGCCTGATATGGAGAAAGATTTTAAACATGGTCTCCCTCCTCTTAGGAGAAACCCTAATCACTGAGATATGGGGTATTCTGGAACCGGTGTCTCTTCTGTTGGAGGCTAGGGACAGTTGTCAAAAGGATAGGAGGTAAGGCGAAGACATTTGCAGGCTTACTTTGTACTTTTATATTTTATACTTCATCAAACACAACAGTATGCTGTGTGTTCCTCTGAGAAGGGCCACATTTTCTTGAGCATCTGGTAGGTGTATGTGCGGTGGGGAATCAGACAGCATAAAGTACCCTGAGCCACGCAGCTTCTCTTTTCTTCAAGTCTCCTCTTAAATCACACACTCTTCAACTTCAACTGGGTCTTTATTTCTCCCCAATCACTCTGCAGTAAAACTTATTGAGTGTAACGCCATTATTTTCTATGATTTCTCAGGTCTTTCATCTACTATCTTGTGTTATTTAATGCTACAAAGTATCTAGGATTACAGCTCAGTAAAAGTAAAATGTAGAGTGTTTATGAATAGATTAATTCTTTGGGGGCCTGTTGCTGTGATGATAAATACAAAAAATATAATTATTGCTCTGCAAGTACTGCTAGAAAATATCACCTAAATATATAATACTACCAATGCTTTTGATTGGTTTTTTTTTTTCAGTTTGACACCCCATAAATGACTAGAAATTTGGCAAGACAATGGAAGAAATAATGCCTCATAAAGATATGGATTGTTTCTGTATGACCAACGCTTACTGATGCCAACTCATCGTAGCTAACACAGAATGGATAAAAAACTGTTTGTCTAAAAAAGGATTTCAGTCATTTGTCAGTTTCCCTAAAATCAGTGTAAGCTCTCTTAACCCCATGCCCTGTTTTTTTTCATATTAACCTTTTAAATGTTTAGGATCGTTTAATTTTTTTTAAAATGTATGCTATTAAAAACAGAATGTTTAGCAAAAGGATATGGAGAAGCTGTCACTTAGGTTTTTTTTTAAAAAAAAGCTCGGGAGCAGAGGATGTAGAGGGGGTGGACATGTCTCATGAGGGAACGGTAGTAGTTAACGGCTCCCAGTGTCTGATGCTACAGCTATTATTTCTGTCCTTCATGCAGTTACAAAGCTATGGCTTTTTCTTTTGAAATGTGGTTATTTTTAAAACCCCTCTCAAAATTTGTATATTTCTTCCCAATTTACAAACAATGAGCCGATTTAGAATCCTACATCTTAGCTCTGTAAATAGCCTTTAGAAAGTTTTTATTTGGTTGTGGGTTTTTTGCATGCTGAGCAATTCATTTAGGCAAAACTTTAAAAACAAGCTAATGCTATTTTTTTTTTTTTAAAAAAGCTTGGGATAGTATCTCTTTGAAAACATTGTACTGTAATTTTTATTTCACTAGACCTCTTCCTCTTTGGTTAAGATAAACCTGAAAATGTTTATGCACGTGTGTAAAGTTATTCACATGCATGTCCTCAGGATCAGGGCCTATCTGAGACACACAATACACAAACTAAAGGAACAATCTCAAAGTGGAGCATTTTTCAAATCACCTGTACACAAGACAAACGTTGTGAAGCTGCATTGACATTAATAATCCATAATACATGAAAAGTGGGTAGGTTTTTTTTACTTATCCCTTTCTAATCAATGCTAACATGAAAAGTTTATACTATGGTATTTCCCAGTTGCTGAACTTGAAGTTATCCTTAACCTATGTAATAAAACAGGTCAGCAATCTTTGGCATGTGGCCTATCAGGGTAATCCACAGGTGGGCCATGAGACATTTTGTTTACTTTGACCATTTCAGGCACAGCCACCTTGCAGCTCCCATTGTCAATATACAAATGATATTTTTAGTACATATATTGCAAAGCTTATTTCATCACTGTAAGTCACCAAAAGAAAAATGTTGAACAGTGAAGAAGCAGACATTTCATCAGTAAAACAAATTTACACTCCTGAATTACTATAACCTGGCCATGAAGTCACAAATAGTCCCCTTAGACACTCCTGCCATTCTCTACCACCCAGACAAACTGCACTTTATAATGAAAAGGTTGTTAAAACCAAATTTCATCACACATTAGGTCTTTCAGCCCCAAGGGGTCAGTTACTCACCCAGGTCAATGGATTCTCAGGATCTTCCCCAAAAACAATGCTGTAGCCAATCCTTTAGTAAACTCAAACTAAAGAATTATAAGATAAGAAAGAATATAGAGTTATTGCAAGGTTAAAGCTTGAACTGTATTACACCTGAATTAGAGTTTGTAGTTCAAATGATAGCAGAGATTAAATAATGTGCCAGTCTCGGAGTCTTTTCATAAATCTCTCAGGGCTTCCCAAAAGGTTTTTTAGGTATCTCAGTCTTGTATGTGGAATACCCCCTGACCGTGTCAGATGGATCAGAGATAAAAGAATCGCTCTGTGCCTTCTTATAGAAGAAAACAGTCTAGCGCTTGTCTCTAGTCCAGCATAGGTTCGTGCTGTGTTGACTCAATGCAGACAAAGTTTTGTGGATCTTTCACTGTCCTACATAATGACCATGCTCTGAAGCTAATGAGCTTCTCATTCAAAGTTTTAAGGCCTCCATTTTCGTTGGTGGGCCATTCCATTACAAAGACATACGAAATCTTATGGTTACAGACATCCATACCTTTCATTAGTTTTCATTAACAATATGATATCCAGTAAATTTTTTTATCTAAATGCTAAATACAGCCTTTTTGATCTAATGTTGATTAAGAAGAGTTGTATTCATAATGTAGAGGGAATTACCGTTACAAGGCATGAAAAGGATACAGCAACAACAGGTTAATTTAGTTACACTAGCATACTTTGAACTGGATGGAGGGAGACAAAGACAAATACAATTAACATCTATTTTAACACTGAATGGTCTAGATGCAATAATCCCTTTTAACCTTCCCTTGATTTCCCTCAGCCTGTGATTGAATTATTAAACTGCTTGTCTGCCTCATAGGAAGAGTCAAACAAATCAAATTATTCAATAAAATACTTATTGATGCAAACAAGCCAAAAATGGCATATCACCCACAAATGCTTTATTGTACAACGAACCCAACTACATTTAGTGTTTTAAACAACAGTTTAAACAGGCTTGTAAATCCATATCAAGTGGGAATCTCCCAGAGGTCAATGGTAGGGCATTCTAGAAAGAGAGGGCACAATACATAAACCCTCAATTACTGTACAAGAAATTTTTTTTATAGGATTTGGTCACAGTTGGCAATCTAGAGGAGGGCTTGAGAGTATGGGCTGGAATGTATAGGACAAGAAAGCCTGTATTGTTGGTACTTCATCAGTGGTTTTCAACTTTTTTTCATTTGTAGATCCCTAAAAAATTTCAAATGGAGGTGCAGACCCCCTTGGAAATTTTAGACAGTCTGCGGACCCTCAGGAGCCTGCAGACCACAGGTTGAAAACCACTGTTCCATGGTAACAACAACCTTTTACAGAACTTAGTCTGTGGACCCCTCTGAGGATCACGGACCACAGGTTGAAAACCACTTTGCTACATCATGGTAGGCTTTGTACGTAAGAATAAAATTGATTTAATAAACAAAGACACAAAAAACACAACAAAAAGTCAATGCACAGAACACAGCACGGGAGTGCTGCAATCAGATAATTAGTACAAGATACTTGGCTGAAGTTTTTGGATCTGTTTGAAAGGATATACAGAAAGATCAGATGCTCACTACTCTGCAAATGTCTAGCCAGACATCTGCCTCATACAGAGATGTGTGACTGGCATGGATGAGGGACAATGTGTCTAGCCCTGGAGGCCTAGACAGAGATGACTCCGATGAGGGATTTGATGAATAAATGTTTTCAGTCCTACATGTGAAGGCTAAACTCCCTAGGATTACTAAAGATCAGTGTGTTTTTCATGCAAGCAAAATGCATTCTTTGTTAAAGTATAATTTAAAAAGTTGGTATTTCAATATTTTGAAATATATTCAAATATTTATCTACATAATTGTTCTGGGCTTGTTATGTTTGGTACCCTTGTGTTCATGGGAAAAAGGACTTTTGAATAATACTCAACTTGACCCATTTCTGTCAAAGTTCTCTTCTCAAAATTTACACCAACGGGAGGACCTGGACCTGGGAGCTGGATGGCAGGGGAGGCAGCCAGTCCTCCCTCCCATGCTGCAGAGTGTGACACCATTGAAATTAGGATTCTGTATAATTTTAAAAATGAAATGACACCTCCCTTATGTGTCTATGATTAATTTGCCACTTTCTCCAGAATGAAATTTTTTTACATTATGCTCCCAGGCTAAAATTACTGGGCATGAATCCTGACTGAGACAAAGATTGTGTGTGTATTTTAAATATAGGCAGCAACCATTTTAAAACACTTTTGATTAATGAGTACAGTGCACTCATAGCAAACTACAGAGGGATCAATATAATCATAGACTTCCTGAAACAATTCTGTTTTCATGCCCTTGGTCGTAAACTTGCACCATGTTCTTCTGCCCATATCTTACTGTTACCTTAACAGCTGTTGCAGCACTATATCCTCTTCTTTTGGCATGTTCCACTATTTAATTTTTCAAAGGATCCATTTTTTCACTGCTGTATTTCAAAAGGTCTTGTCAACTGGACCGAAGAGCAGCTGAGTCGATTTGTATATCCAGTATGGATTAAGTATTAATGTACGGATACTTAACTCCACGAAAAAGACAATAAAATATGGAAGTCCCAGACTTGCCACCACATCATTCCAATGGGAAATACACACCCACCACATGTGATAAGTAAGGTCCATGGGGCAGTGTTCCATGTGGATCAGTACCCACTGGTTTGCCTTCCAAAAAAAGGATATTAGCAGAGCCAAGCTGGAAGAGACAACAAAGAAAGCTTCAATCTTATTTCTCTTCAAGATAAGGCAGTCAGTGTTTTCTATAAATAAGATACATATTTAGTTTTCCTGTTGTGTTTAGTGTAAACTGTCAGACAAACATTACATAAGAACAACCATACAGGGTCAAACCAATGGTCCATCTAGCCCAGTATCCTGTTTTCTGACAGTGGCCAATGCCAGGTGCCCCAGAGGGAATGAACAGAACAGGTAATCATCAAGTGATCCATCCCCTGTCGCCCATTTCCAGCTTCTGGCAAACACAGACTAAGGAGCGTGGTTTTAAATTCCTGCCCATCCTTGCTAAGAGCCATTGATGGACCTATTCTCTATGAACTTATCTAGTTCTTTTTTGAACCCTGTTATAGTCTTGGCCTCACAACATCCTCTGGCAAAGACTTCCACGGGTTGATTGTGCATTGTGTGAAGAAATACTTCCTTTTGTTTGTTTTGAACCTGCTGCCTATTAATTTCATTTGGTGAGCCCTAGTTCTTGTGTTATATGAAGGAGTAAATACCACTTCCTTATTCACTTTCTCCACAGCAGTCACGGTTTTATAGACCTCTATAATATCATATCAGTCATCTCTTTTCCAAGCTGAAAAGTCCAGGTCTTATTAATCTCTCCTTATATGGCAGATGTTCTGTACCCCTAATCATTTTTGTTGCCCTTTTCTGAAACTTTTCCAATTCCAATATATCTCTTTAGAGATGGGAGGACCACATCTGCATGCACTATTCAAGATGTGGGCATACCATGGATTTATTTATATAGAGGCAGTATGATATTTTCTGTCTTATTATCTATCCCTTTCTTAATTATGCCCAACATTCTGTTAGTTTTCTGAAAACATCCACTCAGTGTGCAGTGGCAGTCAAGAAAGCTATCTACAATGACTCCAAGATCTCTTTCTTGAGTGGTAGCAGCTAATTTAGACCCTATCATTTTATATGTAGAGGTGGGATTACGTTTTCCAATGTGCATTATTTTGCATTGAATTTCATCTGCCATTTTGTTGACCAGTCACCCAGTTTTGTGAGATCCCTTTGTAACTCTTCGCAATCTGCTTTGGACTTCACTAGCGTGAGTAGTTTTGTATCATCCTCAAATTTTGCCACCTCATTGTATTCCAGATCATTTCTGAATATGTTGAACAGTACTGGTCCTAGTACAGACCCCTGGGGGACATCACTATTTACCTCTCTCCATTCTGAAAACTGACCATTTATTAAACCCTTTTCTCCTCTATCTTTTAACGAGTTACTGATCCACCTTCCCCCTCTTATCTCAAGACAGCTTACTTTACTTAAGAGCCTTTGGTGAGGGACCTTGTCAAAGGATTTCTGAAAATCTAAGTACACTATATCCACTGGATCACCTTTGCCCATATGTTTGTTTGACCCCCTCAAAGAATTTTCGGCGATTGCTGAGGCATGTTTTCCCTTTACAAAAACCACATTGACTCTTCCCCAACAAATCATGTTCATGTATATGTCTGACAATTCTGTTCTTTAGTATAGATTCAACCAATTTGCCCGGTATTGAAGTCAGGCTTACTGGCCTGTAATTGCTGGGCTCA